TCCAGCCAGATGCTCCTCCGGCGAATGCCTTGCCCCCTTTGTCGCGTGGCGTCCACCACTGTGCTTCGAGGTGGGGAGGGAAGCTGCAATTTTCAAAAATTTGAGTAGACTCATGCATATATATATATATAGATGCAATATAGATCTGGAGACCTGGCTTTGTCTCATTGACGACTAGAAGAGAGTCAGATGTTTAAGGGACAGCTCTTTTGTGCCAGGGGAACATGCTGGACGTCCTCGAACATTTGAGTCAAACATGACAAACTTACGTGCAGCTCCGGCACCTCCACAGGCACATCCCCAAATGACGCTCAATGATTTGAACGAGAAAAGACGTCCGTGGATTTGGAAGACCAATGCCACTGCATTTTTTTTGATGCGACGGAATGCCTTTGGCCTCTCCATGTGTCATTCTGCGCGCTTTTGCAGTCATTCTTTGCAATTTCTGATAAGATCTGATAAGGCATAGGCCTGACCCCAGGATATGAAATATGGGTCCATTTGGGGTACCCACTTCACCTATAATATAAGGTCATATAAGGTCTAAATTTCCCAAGTCACGAGAGTTCGTGGAATGTGTTTGGTGAGGGGGTTACTGTAAGCAGCATGGTGACCCTAAGAAGCCTCATGGCCTTGATTTGATGCTTTCGCTTGGGCAGTTGACACCAGCACCATTTGGCCTGTCGGAGCTTAACATCCACCAGTCCGAACTGAACATGCAGGTGCCCGAAGCGCCACCGCTGCCATCCTCAAGGGAAGCACAGGCGAAACGGGCAAATGATGTGGAAGTCAGAATCTACTCGTACTCGAACTAGGTGGCTTGCCTATTCTGGATGGACTTAGCTGCCCATGCCTACTGCCATTCCATGACTAAAGAGCCAAAGGGCCACACACGACTTCTTTGTTGTGCGGAGAGGCGGCTCCCAGGTCTGTGAGGTCTGCACCGGAGGCCGGAAAACATGGGAGAACAGGATCTATCGAACACCGAATTGGTCATGTCGATGAATGCCGTGATCAGTGAGGGGTCTTTGCACAGACGAAAGTTGTTGGATACACTCAATTGCTGGATAACTAATAGTTCGAGATCCTTCATCGATCTTCATAGTGCTTCCAGCTTCGGCTTCGGTTTTTGCCCTTTTGGTCACTCGGAGAGCGGCAGGAACGGCACACTCCTCCAGAGCCGCCGAAAGGGCAGCCGAATGTCAGTCCCAACTCGGTCCCTTGGATCAAGTTTGTGCTGCTTTAAGGTTCTTTGACACCATGAGAAACAATGGAAAACGACCATGTCTGATAATGTTTGAGAAGGCATCCTGATAAGAGACCTTGGATAAAGTCGAGTTCCGCAACTGCGCAGGATTCCGCAACTAGGATTCCGCAACTGTTTGGTCGGATTCCGCAACTGGGATTCCGCAACTAGGATTCCGAAACTAGGATTCCGCAACTAGGATTCCGCAACTAGGATTCCGAAACTAGGATTCCGCAACTGTCAAGATTCCGCAACTAGGATTCCGCAACTAGGATTCTGCAACTGGGATTCCGCAACTGGCGTTCCGCAACTAGGATTCCGCAACATTGTGGACTCCTCACTAGGATTCCGCAACTTTGTGAATGATGAGGGGGTTGGAGTGATGTCGAGATCACACGATGGGGACAAGGGGGGGTTGGGGGGTGGGGGGGTTGGGTGGGGGGCTAATGACGCTGGTTTGGATGTGCTTCGAAGGTGATGTCACAGGCACACACGCTATCGCATGATGTGGAGATCACCAGTTGCAAGTTTCAGAAGGCAAGTTGCAGAATCTGACTTTCCAGTTTCAGAATACCAGTTGCAGAATCTGACTTTCCAGTTTCAGAATACAAGTTTCAGAATCCCAGTTTCAGAATCCTAGTTTCAGAACCCCAGTTTCAGAATCCTAGTTTCAGAACCCCAGTTTCAGAATCCTGGTTTCAGAATCCAAGTTTCAGAACACTAGTTTCAGAACCCCAGTTTCAGAACCCTAGTTTCAGAATCCGACCGATTAGTTTCCGAATCCGGCTCTAACCGACCTTGGCCTTGCAAGGCGCCTTACTTTTCATCTATTACTTTAGATGCTTGTCTCCGGCTTCCATGCCAGTCCGATGACCAGACCCAGACATTCCAGTGAGTGCAGGTACTTCCAAAGCCGGTGCCATACGAAGCTCGAACAGTTCCAGTTCCACCGCAGCAAGAAGACATGCCAGCCTTGCCGAAGGTCCGAACCTGAACGAACAATGACATGTTATGAAGGAACAATGAAAGAAACAATGGTCCTTTCCCAATGACAGTTCCCCGATCGCTGCTAGGGCCCTAGGAAGGATGAGGAAGGCCGCGTCGGCCAGAAGTAAACCGGGTGATCAAAAGATTCAACATAATGGAGCAGAGACCTTGATGACAGACAGTAATCTCAAGATCCCTTGTTGTCTAGCACACCCCAATTCTACCAGTGTTCGTTGAACACTTTTGTAGGTGACACCCATTGGGCCAGCAAAGTCACTTGATGTTGCCAAAGCTCATCAGCCAGCCGCCTTTGCCAAGAGTCCAGCCACCCCGATTCAAGAGGACGGAGTTTGTGAAACATGACTGACCGCTGACTCGTGGAGCAATCTGGAAACAACTGCTAATTGCGCGACCTTTGAAGTTGAGGTTCAGATGGAGCCAAATGAAAGAAACAAGAACAGTAAAGAAGCTCTTGGAATGCGGTGCTTTGACTCAATGGAAGCCAGACAGAACGTAGTAATATGACAGGCTATGGCACCTCTGGAAATGACAGTGGCATCTGCGGCTGCGAAGCTTACGTCGCGACATGCTGCAGAGTCTGTGGAAGCTACAACAACAGCAGATGCTGCAGATGTTGCAGACACGGTGCAGAAGCAACAGGCTCGCAACATCAAGAAACGAACAGCTTTTCTGAATTTTGACATCGCCTCAATAGAAAGTCTATATACTACTGTATATACTTCTGCATACGGTACAGTAGACTTTACATCACAAAAATTTCCATATTTTACTCATGTCCACAGCTTCCCTGAAGCCGGTCACATCATATCACTTCACACACCATTTTTTCCCTGTTAACTGCCAGCGACGTCCGAAGCGGCTGAAGGAACAGTTGGTGATCCGCAGCTTGCCGGGCATGAAGCGTTTGAAGGGCTTCCAGACGAGCACTGGTGGCGCTCCTTACTTCCGACATGCCTCTGAGGCCTTTGATGCCTTGTGTCGTGAAAGAAAGGAAACTGATGCTGCTTCTTCCTACTCATATAGATGTTTAGCTTCATGGCCATCCATGGTTGAAGACCATATCATCCATGACACCTTATCACCTTGCGGCATGCAGTAAGATGTACACGCTATGCTGCCAACAAGTCTTGCAGGTGCCTTTGCCAGCGGCGCCCGTTGAAGTGCACGCCACAACTTTAGTGCCCACGGGGCCCACGATACCTTCAATGCAGAGCAACTACAGCAAGTGCAGCAACCACGTTTCCCTGTCGACTGGCTTGGTGAGTCTGTCAGAAACTCAGTGACAGACCTTGGCTGAACAGCTTGTGAAGAGCGACTGTTTGAATTGGATCAAGGTCGGGCATGCGACTTCTGAAGAAGAATCGTGGACAAGTCTCTTGGAGGCAAACATACAGCTGGCAGGGCCACTTTTCAGCTTCCTTGTTTATGCAAATTTGGGTCTATCCTCCAAGGATGGACCTCGAATACTTTGCAGCACAGCTGGGACCATGTGCCTTTGCTTCAAGCGCGCACTGTGGCGACAGTGGCAGGCAACAGACACCCACAGACTACAAGCTGACACCCCCATGACGCAAGCAGCAATTAAGATTCGCCGCCCAGAAACTTTTGGGTGCATTAACACATGAGTGACCATCCATTGAGCTTGTTTCGGAATAGCATCAGAGATGTGCCTTCTCCGGCCTACTCCAAAATTATGGTGCAGAAGATGCAGATTGATCACTGTCAGTGAGGTTCAAGCTTCGGACCATTCTCCCTGCTAACCACGAGGCCCAGGAGCGATGCTGACAGATCAACGGACTGAAGCAAACGAATGGATCGAATCAATCTGCATGCTTCTTCAGTTTTGTGTTCACGGCCCTTTTGTTTCGTTCTTTTGTTGAACAAGCACGATGTTTTTTGTCATTCAGATTAGGAGCCTCTTGAATCTTTGCCTCAAATGCATTCTTTGAGTGGCTTCCGGCGCCTTCAAGGTTTCAGCACCAGTAACTTGAACAAAGAAACCCGAAAGACGCACATCAAAAGACAAGTGTCAGCAAGATCACAGCCATTTTGATCCCTTAAAGCTGATTCCCAAGGCACTGGAGGTATGATGCTGGCGAATTTGCCCTCACACAAGCTGCATCCTCTTTGTGAGCTTGAAGACGAGGGCTATCAACATCGGACATCGCTCCAGCTCAGGGTACCGTCCACCCGAGTGCTTTCTGGCAGTTTCCGTTTGAGACGTTTCAGCACGAGCTGCGGTGGGTTACCATACTGCAAGCGTTAGGATAACGACTGTCGGCACTGGAGTCAAAGTCACCCAGCCGACCATTGACCATTGATTTACAATGTTGGATGTACAGAGGGGCTTTACAGAACTTGACAGGGAACACATCGTCTCAACGGTTGGCAGCTTGTCACTGTCGAGAACCTGCGAGCTCCATCGCTTGGCCTTTTTGATCTATTTTCATCTATCGTGTAGCACTTCAGATGTAAGAGGCTTGGGCATCAGACCCAAAGTTGCAGCTTTTGTTTAAGTCAGTCAACACATTGAAATGTGATGCTGGAAAGAATTCCAGCTGCCCTCTCTACCTCTCCCCTCTCTCTCTCTCTCTTTCTCCAGCCCAAAGAGGTTCCGTGGCTCGGAGTGAAAAGAAAGACACATAACTCATTCATCCATATTCACTCATAAGAGGACAAGGCAGAGTACTTGTTACTTCGTTAGCTATAAATTACAGGTGACAACGCTTCAATTGTGATGCGTAAGGACATCTTTGGTGTCACGATTGCCGGCTCTAAGTCCGAACCAGCTCAGCCCTCGAACAAGCCCAGCCAAGAATATGCCAAGATCCTCTGCAGTGACCGCAGTGTCCAATGTGTCGACAAAGCAGCTGAGGCTTGTCCACATTGTGGACAAGTCTACCTTCCAAACGCGTTCTTTTGCCGAAGCTGCCAGATGAAGCGTCACCTTCCTGAGGCTGGACAGATCCAACTCGATAAGATGCCGCCTTCAGTCCTTTAATTGTGAAGAAGATAGAAACATGGCCCTGGTGCACACCCGCAGAAAAGCGAGATTTGAAAAAGATAAAGGAACACAGAGGGATCAAGATTGCGGAATTAGCGGGTCGCTGATTTGCTGACTCCCATCACCCCTATGTTCTCCTTGAGAGGAACGTAGCAAATGTGGTACTGTAGTAAGGCTGTTCATGCTGTTCATAGACGCTTTGGACAGATGGCATGTTTTAACATGGCAGATAGCGCATGATAGCGTTCCCAATATGCTCTTAGAGGGCTGAATGCAGGTGTTACATCGGCTACCGCCTGGGCGAAGGCTGAACACAACCAATCTGGACTTCAGACGCAGAGTTTGCATGTCAGCTCTGTGTTTTCTCTGTGGGCGGGTGGCGGGTGGTGGATTGAATTTGCAGAAAAAACTGTCATCTTTCTACTGAGAGTTTTCTGGGTTGAAGGACAGATATTGAATCCTTTGACAACGCTTTCAAAGCACTGCATTCCATAGAACTGAAAGGCGCGGGCAGCCAGTCCAGCCCCTACAGGCGTGTGAGAGGAAGTTGAGAAGGATTCTTTGCCGGGATGTTGACGCGAGTTGTGAGCAAAGGACATCAGTCACGATTGCTTTGATGCAGTACTAGTGACTAGTTTGAACAGGTTGAATCCGGCTGCATTTGAGAGATGTACATGTAAAGCAAAGATAAGCAAAGCAGATGCGGCGAAGTCTGATGAGTACAGGACGCTACTAGAAGCAAAGAGCATCGCTACTAGGAACAAGGAGGCTACTAGGGGCTCCTGCCCTTACTACTACTGTAGGAGCAAGGACTCTACAGCCTTTTCGCGCACGCGATTTGAACCAACTGTGGTACGTGAAGCTGAGCCTGGTGGCTGCATGCAGTGTAGAGGTCCCTCGGTCGGTGATCTTCGACAAGGAGCTGGCACGGTGGGACTCCAGGCGAACATGTTGATTTCCCGTGTACGTTGCCGTCGCCAAGCAGAATCACTTTTGTTGTCCAGGGCCAAGCAGCTAGAAGCTCAACCTAATAGGAATGGCCTCCAACCTAAAGAGCGATGGCCTCCAACCTAAGAGCGATGGCCTCCAACCTAAGAGCGATGGCCTCCAACCTAAGAGCGATGGCCTCGAACCTAATAGCGGCTACATCGTAGCCGTCGCCAAGCAGAGTCCCTACTACGCCTTAAATATTTTTGTTTGTTGTCCAGGGCCGAGCAGCTAGAAGCTCGCTTCCGGCGGCTGCGTGACGCTGGGGCCCTGCTTGTATCTAAACGGACTTGAGAAATCGAGATGCTCGCAGTGCAGCAGATCAGTCATCATTGAGTTGAAGCAAGTCTTGACCGATCGGCAGAGGCACGACGCTAGGAGCTGCGACTGACCAATGAAATGGCGACGTGTAGGGTTGAGACCACATCCAGACTTGATGCATCTAAGTCAGCCAGTTGTCCTGTTGAGAGTAATCTTCAACGCAGACTCGCAGACCTTAATTGGTGGTCTCAGGATTTTGCAGATGCTTACAGACTCTCTCCCTTGTTGCCGGGGGCTATGTTTTGATTGGACATTTGTACCCTTTGACTGTCCTTCAAGGTCCTGAATTAGCCACGACAGCAAAGGAGAGATTGCAGTCAACTGCAACTAATGAATCTTGGCCAATGCAACTCCCAGGTGGCTTAAATTAGAGCAACCTGCCAGAAGAAAAATGTTACGCATCAATTCCACAGCTTGCCCAGAACGAAGTTGTGTAGCAAGCAAAAACTGCTCAGATCTGGGAAGATGTGGAAGATTCAGAGAAGCGATTTGCTGGGTGGCCTCTCTGCTTTCCGACATGACGGGGCTCGCAAGTCATCCTGCACAATGCATTCGGGCATTCACCTTTGGATCAAGTCGAAGAATGGGAGTTGGGGCGACGACCAGTGGAATCGCGAGCAACTTCGAGAAACCTGTTTCTCAGCCATTCAAGCAAGGGCTGATGTTCTACCAACACATTTGAAGGGAACCCCTCAAAAAAGGAAATCACGGTTATCAGTCATCAGCCGTCAATTATGATCCAAAACCCAATCAGTGCAGAACAATGCAGAACACATTTTACGTAGCTGAAGAGTTCCCATATCTTGAGCAGATTGAAAGGCCTCCGCTCTCCGCATTTTTGCGCGGCTGTAGACACCTCTGAAGCAGAGGATGTTCGACTGGGATGATGTTCCCGATGATATTGCCAACTACGTAGCCGTGGAGCAGCTCAGCTCCGAGGAAGAGACTACTGAAGTCCAACCTGCAGCGGAGCCAGCGAAGGAAGAACAAAGGCGCGGGCAACTGAAAGAATCTAGGTCCAGTGCGTTGGTTAAAGGCAACGATAGGCTTTTCGTAAAATTCTAGGAACGTTTCTTCAAGAACGCTTCTTCGACTTCCTTGAAGAAGTACTCAGCCCATCTTAGCCCTTACTTAATTAAGTAGCGTTTACTTACTTATATAAGTAGTAGGGGGGCAGAGCGGAGGTTAAAAAAAATCAACTAATGTTCGAAGTTGCCCTTGTGTTGAAGGAATCCTGAATATCCCTGAATCACGGGTCGAGGCTGTTTGCTCTTTTCCGCATGTAGGCTTGGCTATGAGCTGGATGGTGTCACCCTTGCACCTTCTGAGTGCACGTCCTCACTGGTGCCAATGGATGATGAGAAGTTCTCTTCAGCAGAGCTTGAGACAGTTCGTTGGATGATGCAGAAGGTGCTGATGCGGCAGGACAGGTGCCATGTAACAACATGGTTAATCAAGCGAGGTTCGTTTTGGACGAATCTTTCTCAGGACATGTTCCTGCTGGGCCCTCCTGGATCGCACCTTTTCTGCACAGCCTTAAAGACATTGACGGAAGCATAGTATAAAGCAACGAATGTAGCTCCAAGCATGATCCTTTTTTGACTTTTTAGCATCTCTGTTGCATCCGAAGCACTCTTTTTCTTCATCTAGTCGGCTGAAAGGATTGCTGGGTTGCCAATTCAAGCCAGCACGAAAAGCTCAAGTGTGTTGCGAGTTGTTGACTTTTCTTGTAGCCTGCCCAATTCAAGGCTCATTAGGTCTGGTGCTGAGAAATCTGCGGAGACTAAATCTCACATCAACAAACTGACTGGGTGTCAAAGCTTTCAGAGTTTGCTCAGACTTCTCACAAGCAATGAGCTGTTGATGCTTATGTTGTTTGCCTTCTTCGATGCTCTCTCTGACAGACGCCCGAAATTGCTTTCTCAGGCGTCTAGTCTTTCGATTTTGCTCCCTCTTTGGCCGTGAGGCTGGGGCCCAGCCGAATTTGGCCTAGCTATGCCTAGCTTAAACTGTCCAAAATTCTGTCAAGCCTATAGGAAATAGAACGTTGAAGGCCGTATGCCTTCATGCTTTGATTGTCCTTGCCTTTCCCAAAAATAGAAGTCACTATGTCTCGGGCAGGTAGAATATGTCGGCATCACTGCAGATACAAGCGAGGCAGGTGGAGACAATCACAAGTGACTAGTGAGAGATTATTCAACGAGCACAGACTTATCAAACAAAGGTACTGTAGTTGAAGGCTGAAGGTGCAGCTGTCGCTCAGTCTGGCAGCAATTTGGCAAACTGTTTATGCAAAGGCTGACCTGAAGCAGCGCCGCGAGCTGCGAAATGGTGCCAGCCCTATTTTGATGCCGGACATTGCTCGACATTTTGAGCTTGGGACCAACTTAAAGTCTTAAAGATTGCAGACAGCAGTAGTTTGGTCAGGTGAATGTACCAAGACTGGTCAAGGAAAAGCTTAGGCGATGTCCCCTGGTCCCGGCTCCAGCTGAACGCCATACACTGTTGGATTGAACAGAGCTATGGCGGCGGAAGAGGATTCCACAAGCACAGAAGGCGCTGGGGCTTGGGCACTGATCTGTGTAGAATCTTTTGAAGGATTCTGTGCTCGAAAGTTGTCACTCATTTAGGTCGGAAAAGATCTTTCGTTTGGCTCATCACAAGTATGAGCCAAAGATTCATGTCCAAGGGATCCACATGACATGGTTGGTGCATGTATCTACCCATTTTTCTGCTGTTACTTTGAGACTTGGTCAGAATCAGGACAGATTATGCAGGAAGCGCTAAGACCGAGTCCGCAGGAGCCGCTGATGTTGGCAGCGACAACTCACGAGAAGTCGTAAAGTCACAGATTCGACACTCTGCTTCACAGAAGTTTGCTGTAAGAAACATTCAAGACTATTCACGGGTTTGGCAGTCTTTGGTTGCCTTTGCTGCAATCCAAAGAGAATGAGTTATATATATATATAGATAATAAGTGATATATGTATATTTGTATACAAATTGTAAGTGGACTTCCTTCAGGAGTCTAAGCTATGCCGGCGAGAATTTGCAGCCTCTTGGTCTTTGGGATTTGTGCTGAAGTGATCGCTCTTTGAATGCTGAAATGATTCTGATTGTCTTTTTCCCCTTTTTTCTATACAATCAACCGATATTCTCTATATTTAGCTGAATGCTTACAAATTTCTCAATGCTTAAGCTGAATGCTTTGACCAAGATCATGAGCTGGACATTGGCAGTGAACCATGCCACAGTGACAACGCCCATTTTGCCGCTTGGCTGGGCAATGACGCTTAGCAATGCTGGAGTCCGAAAAACGCGGCAATGCTTTCAAGGTATGCCTCCTCGGTGCTGACTAATGCAAATGGCCAAGCCGGCAATGCAATGTGGCTTGGACATAGAATTGCACACATTGAACTTCGTTGCACACAGACCTGAGTGCACACTTGACTTATATAATGTCGAAAAGCCTTCTCCTAAGGCTCTATGGTGCAACCTTAGTTTGCAGCCTCTTCTTTGCGACGTTGATATTCGGCGTCCTGGGCTCAAAACAAGGCCTGTCTCTCTCTATGGGACTGCCGCTCAGCCAGATGCAAGGCGTCAATTGTTCATGGTCTATCTTGCAGATTGCGATGAAGAGGCCAACTCCCTTGCTAGCGAGAGCACCGCAATTCCACCATCAGTCCAGTCCTTTTGGTTTGAGGGGATTGCCTAGCGGCCCACGTAGCGCAGCACCTCATATGACTCTCAATCTACGGCTCACCGAGAGTATCAAAGGTATTGCGTCTACGTTTTCCTGTTTGCAACTGCCGCCTCTATGTGTGCTTGGAGCTCAGAGAAGAACACGTTTCTACTTATATATATATACACTGTACATACTGTAAGTATTTTTGAAGGAGCGTTGGCAGGATTTACACATGTGACTCACGAGAGTAGCACACAAGAGTTCTCACAATGTCTCACACCTTCTCACGGGCTGAGGATGTAAAGGATGCCAAGGGCTCTTGCATCCAGGGCAGCCCATACCAGCTTTTAGTGAACTTGGGAGGAGCCTTCGTAGGCCGGAAGAAGCAGTAATTTTGCCGGTCCACTCAGTTCCCTTCTGTTGCCTTTGATGCAATCTATCAGCGTTTTAACATTCCTTTGAGGTGGCATTGGTGCCGGTGTGCTGTGGACCTGCCAGGGTGCCTTCTTTTCTGCAATTTGTGCGCGGATAGCTGAAGCAGAAGACCGAGAGGCTCCTGGACAAGTCTGCACATGAGCTTCTGTCACGGAAGACAGCGGGACCAGCTGGGTAGCTTTGTTTTTTACTGCGCCGCCAGACGCCCAACGTCACTGCAGAGCTAGCTGGAACCTTTGCATTGATTTTCTTGGCCATGGAGAAGCTCGTCATGATGGTTTGATAGCGAACAGTGAAATTGCAAGAGGAAGAATGATCTACCCTCGGCATAGCTAAGCACAAACATTTCCACTCTGAGGGCAGTGATCAGAGCTTCTGCAACGCTTTTGACAAAATATGCGCATTTCCAGTACCCAGTGCTCTGTCAGCAAGAGGTGCTGCACAGTTCGGGAAACTGGTAAAGTTCTATTGTAGGTAGATTACAAGCTGCTATTGCAAGCTTAAATTTTGTTTGCTGCTGCCGAGGTAGTTTTCTATATTTTTTCGGGCCTTACGATTGTCTCCACCTTGACTTTCCAAGCGTCCTGGCTCTGAAATGCACTCGGCCAAGTTTGTTTGTGTTGTTGCCGTAGACTTTATGCCAGTCTTCTTGGCCAGTGGCTATGCTCGAGTCTGTGCTCATGGCAAGTTTGCTGGGCAGTGGCTAGCAATGGTGTCAACTCTTTTGGAGGCCACCGCTATTAGGTTGGAGGCCATCGCTTTTAGGTTGGAGGCCATTGCTATTAGTTAGATGCCATCGCTATTAGGTTGGAGGCCATTGCTATTGGTATCTATTAGTATATAAAACTCACTATAACTCAAACGAATATTGTTTGTTTTTTGTCTCCAATTTAGACAATTAATGAGTTTGGAGGCCATTGCAGCTGGATGCTTGATCAGGTCCTGGCAACCGACATGACCACAGCAGCGCCCCGCGGCTCCTTGTGCGCAAAGGCAAGCTCAAGGTTTCTGTCAAGCTGATTGCATTTCACTTCATCATGTCAGAATCGAAAGGCAACACATGCGCTGCAGGCTCTGAGTGCCATCCGGTTGTGGAAGGACCCCAAAACCTTTGTGCCTGGGACCTCCATGAACTGAGCTTGTGACGGGTTTCTAAACACTTGATTCACCGGGGAAGGTTGCACTTGATTCACAAACTACGTATCATATATATATATACACTATAATATAGTATAATATATATAGGGTTTGTCCTATTACCTGTACCAGTCAGCAAACAATTATAATCTTTTTTGAACCATCATCATCCACTGTTACAGGCCATAGGATAGACCCCACATATGTCCTCTTTTGTGGCTTCATGACCTAGGTGCTGCAGTGCACCAATTTGACCTGCGGCTTTGCAGCCGCCTGGTTAGGTGGCTACATCGGCAGGCAGGGATCTCTGGCGAACCGGAAGAAGCGTCAGCTTTTCTTTTTTGTTTGCAATCTCATACAGCAGCCAACCATCTTTATAACGCTTTGTGCTTGCTAGAGGTTCATCCTCAGCAAAGCCCTGAGCAGCGAGTTCATCGGCTTTGCAGGAAAGGGATTGTTTTGATAGCGCTCAGCGCTCATCGTGCATTCTTGAGTTTTGATAAACCCCAACATCAAGAGGTTGACTACCTTCCAAGCGTAGTAGTAAAGGAAGCTACTAGGAACAAGTGTATCGCTACTAGGAACAAGTGCCTTACTAGTAGTAACAAGAAGCTATTATTAGTAAAGGCAGTAGGCGGTAGGCGGTCGAAGATGCTTTTCTTTTCAGGGCCTTTGCCATTTTGCCAGGAGCTATGTTGTCCGCCTTGGCCAGTGGGCTGTCCTTGGCCCTTGGCATTGTTGCCAGGATTCTTGGCTCAATGTTGCTTGTCAAGATCATGTGGTGCTGGCCCAGTTTTTTGAGAGGTCTGACGGGAGCAAGCAGCAATCATGCATAAAATCATCATTGTCAGAGAGCAAGACATAAAGCGATGAACAGAAAAGACCGAGCTAATGGAATAATGGAGGTAGTATAATTTCCTCTAACAATCTGTTGCACAAGCAATGGATTTGCATGAACTGTTTGCAACGTGAGCAAAAGTGCCGCGTGTTCTTTCCATTTTCTGTTGTGTCCTTTTGATCATATCTCATTATCTCATCGTCTTCATTTCCCTCAGGAAAATTGGCAAAGGCCCTGTTGTTGCCTTGGGATCTCTGGCATTCCTGCTCTTGGGGGTGCTCAGCAAGTGACTCGGCGAAAGCTGAACGACACCGTTGTCGCTGGCAATGCTTGACACCGCTTCTTTGAGGTTTGTGGGCCACCCGGAGACCTGGGGATGGGGTGTGCTCGTTGCTTGGCAGATGCATGTTCTAGGGAGGCTTGGACTGGAGAAGACTGGAGATTTTGACAAGGATGGTTAAGGGGAAGCAAAGTATTGGATGGACGCTAACCTGAGTGCGGTTTGAATTCTTGAATCTAGAATCTTGTTGGATCCAAGAAACATCCAACGGACATCCGCCCTCTCAGATAGAAGAGCAAGTTCAATCGTCGTGCCAACGACAGAGGCCTATTCCAAGCTTGATCGTATTTGAACAAGAACTTGGAACATCAACCTAAATAATGAGATTGAAGTGTTGCAAAGGATGCGGCATAACAAACGGATTTCAAAAGCAAGGATCAAGAAAGGCCTCACATTTTTTTCCGCTTTGCCAGGGCTAATTACGAAACAATCGCACGCACAGCACTTGTTTGTATTTCTTCAATCTGCTGCTGTTTGTTTGTTTTGTCAAAAGCTGACTATTTGCAGTTCAGCACCACTGTTTCGTGAAGCATGTCATGCAGTGCTGGCTGGACTGGGTGCACCTTTTGCCTCGAGCTTCTTAGAAAAGATGGCATGCACTTGAGCACGCGTTTTGCCAAGTTGGTAGCGGAGCTTTGCCCATTCGCTCCAGCTGACCATTCCTTGTGCTGATGCCATGCCGGCTGCTTGACATGTCTTCGGCGGCGCCGAGGCCGACGACCGCCCCCTGCAGCGCCGATGACGGGCGGGGGTTGGCGGCCTTCCATGAGAACTGTGGCTCTATGGTGAGGAGCACCGGACGTGGCGCTGTACCTAGTGTCTCTCGACCTCCTTCTTGCTTCAAAAATGACGACCTTGGCCCAGGACTGGACGGATCTTGGTTCCAAGGTCCATGCGCCTTTTTGCAGCACTTTTGCAGCTCCCACTATTGGTGCCTCGCTGGAGGAAAGTCGCATCAAATTGGTGCGCTTTTGACTTGATGTGACTTCCCTATACTTCCTTCCAAGTGCGGTGTGCCGTGCAGTGATGCGACTTTTCGCCAACTGATGTGACTTTAGCCCTCCGCTTGTACCTCTCGGTCGACGGCAAAATCAGCGCCTGTCAGGCCCTAGACGGCGCGCGTTTTCCAAAGCAGCGCTTTGCAAAGGCCACCTCCGTGGCCATCAGAAGCGCAAGAACCGGAGAAGCTGCGGCCAGCAGCATCAGTCATCGAGGCTGTCACCTTTACAAACGCCGAGGTGACGTCCCATGAGAAGTTCGCCGCTCGACCGCTCGACGTGTTTTCCTTTCAGCTTTCCGTTTGAAACCATGAGATGTTTTCCCTTTACCTTACTTTACCATGAAAAGTTGCTTTGGCATGAATCTTTACTTTGCAGTGCCTCACCTAGCTCAGGGGACGCTGCCTTTTGGCGAAGAACCTCTCGAACCAGGGAATAAACCCAAGCGGTTTCTGGACAAATGCTTGCGCGATCCTTCGGCTAAGGGGCGGGCCCCACAGAAGAACTTTTGTTGGGCGGAAGCAGAAGAGCCCAAGGAGGAATCCGCAGCCACGCCCGCAGAGGCAACCGCTTCATTTTGCCAGCGCAAACCCAACTCTCGTCTAGGTTCTCCCAAACCCATTCTTTTCGCGCAGCCAGGCAAAACTTTGCAGGGCTTTAGACTTTTCGCGCTTGGTTTTTGGGGGTCGGTCGCGCTGTTTGTGATCTAAGATTGTCATCTATCAGTGAAAACAACGTGTATTGATAGCAACTGACGAGGTTCGAGTTGTTAGCAGGAATCCGCAGCCACGCCCGATGAGGCAACCGAGAAACCGCAACACTTTGCGTAGCTGGCCATTTCTGGGAGGGGCTGAGTACAATCCGGAACAGAAGCCTAAGAGGGCCTACGACACGACCCCCCCAAACCACCTCGACGATCCGCTTCCAGCCAACGCATACAGACGCCTCACACTATCGGACGTGCTTGGCATCAACGACGTCATCATGGGCGTCACACATCACGCAGCGCGACTTCCAGACATGTCCTCAACGGCCCCTGGAGCTCTTCAGGAACTGTGGTTGTCAAGCCCTGGGCCCGATGCTTCCCCAGGATGAACAGCGCTTATCAGAGAACCATCTATCAGCGCAATCGACCGACGCCCATCCGTGGATTGCGCCGATTGCTCGATTGCTCTTGAACGCCAATGTCCTGGTCATTGTCCATGATGCCAGCTTCTCGTACTCCACAAAAACCAGGGAATTCGGTGTCCCTGCTCTTCCAACAGTGTTTCAACTGCTGGATCTCCCCATGAAGCCGTGCGCGCGCAGGTTTTAAAACCCCAAACGTACATGTTGGCAAAGCACCATTGTCCCCTAGGCGAACCGCACGACATGTACACTTCTCCCCTTCAAAGTTGGGCTTGAGTGTGTCAGTATGGTTGTTACCCACACTTCCGTCTTTTCATGACATTCTCGCTCAGCTTCTGTGCAAACTCTTTGACCTTGCCAGAGTTTGCCGATCTTTGCCAACCTCATGCTCTCTGAGCTCCTCGCAGGCGAGAAGCCTCACAAGGACTTGACCAGCTGGAGGCGGGCCCGGCTGCAAGAGACGGGCTGTAAGTCCTTGCGCCGTGACGACGGAGCGCCCAAACACAACTGTGAGAAGACATCCGCAGCGTCCAGGAGTTCATTTAGTAGGAGAAGCAAATTCGCATGTTCGCTAACGGCCTCACGATGGCCACAAAGGCTTGGAGGGGTGATCTGCGTAAGTGGCTCGATGGCCCATACGCCAGCTCACTGCACTTGCTGCGCGAAAAGAACGTGACAATTTATCAGTTTGCAGTTCCGCACTGCTGTTTCATGAAGCATGTCACGCAGTGCTGCCCGGACTATAGGTGCACCTTTTGCCTTGAGTTTCTTAGAAAGATGGCGAGCGCTTGAGCACGCGTTTGGCAAAAAACAGTACTTTCATGTACTTGTGCAGGTTCTGTAGGTACAGCACTTGCGAGAACATTTCACACGTATTGCCTCCTAAGGTTTTCTACGTTCTCATGGGCATCGGTCGAGCTGTGTATGAAAGCACAAACAAAGCTATTTTTGCAGATTTCTTCCCTGGGGAGGCAGGACAAGAAACTTCTCTTGATGTGCATGTAGTTTGGCTTGGGCTATATGCAATATCCAAGTTGCAGTGCTTTCAATCAGAGTTGCCGAGATTATCCGTGCAGGCCAGCGCAGGAGCCTTTGCCAACGTCTTCGTGTTCGGCACAGCGGCTTCAACGGCGGCCTTCACGTTGGGCGCGACCTCGAAGGTGGGTGACCCGTTGTGCAGTAGTGGAAATAATGTATACAATATTATACAATATTATACAATCCACTGTTTTGATTGATGCCGCCGAATGATTCGGATTCCATTGTGCCCGATTTCCAAAAATTGAGGTTTGAAATTCTGAGTGGCACAAAAATATCGCAGGATATGGTCGAGCTGCAGCTGCTGATGGTTTTTGCTGTGCTCACAGTGCCGGGCTATTTGCTGGCCTCTTTCATCAAGCGGTGTCAGGACAACTTGAACCTCGCGAGGGGTGAGCTTTGTTCGAAAGCAAAGATCTATGCCAACGTGCTCGCTCCAACCACAACATTAGCAGACCGCGATTGACAGAAGGACTAACGACTTTGGTGACTGCTTGGGAATCTTGTGATCTTTCATAACACCAGACCGAGTCCCCTCTGTTTCACGCCAGACAGTAAAAGGCTTTTGACAGAAGTGTTTCCTGCTTTCAGGAAGCGTCAAGTCAATCAGACTGTGCTGACTCCTCGTCATCACCGTGAAAGCACCTTGTCCTGTCCCATGTATTGCTAATTCTATTTCCCAAAAAGGCGCCATGAGATGGACTCTAAGACGCTTTGCCAAGACAGTTTCCCACTTAGCTGCAGACTGATGGGTGTGTGTGGGTCTTGAGCCTGATTCGCCAGCGAGGCCAGCCCTTGCATCCTTTGGACCAGTCCAAAGATACTGAGATTGGCCCATTCCGTTGCAGGTGGTTGGCCAAGAAACAGATACCATCTCGATGCCTGAGTTGAAAAGAGCCATTCCTTGCTTGGAGGAGTGCCCACTGATTTCTTTTGCCCCAGTTTCACAATATGTGCTGCGCACATGGAACAGGCCGTCAAAATCTGGACAGCACCTTGAATTATGTTAGCAGAATTATGACGTGCGGACTTTTGTTGGCCCCGCTGTCTATGTTTTGTCGGAGCTTGCGCTTGTGAAACTTTGCGTGCTGCGTCAGACGTCACAGCTTCTTTTGGAAAAAGTGGTAGTGCTCCCTTGCAAAATCCCTATAACATTGGCTATTGACAGCGTTTTGTCCATTGTCTCTTGGGTTTGTTTGCTGGATGATTTAAGTCAATTAAGCTTTCAAGTTGCAAGGCGATGCCCTCTATATTGATCAGCCGCCTTGATTCTCAGCTACCCAGGCCTCACTTTGGAACATAAAGATAATGAGGTCTGATTGAAATCTCGGAAAGCATCAATCATCGGACACAAAGCTACCCACTCTGAGAGACAGAGTGGGGACATTTAAAAGGCCAATCTCTTCAGGGTTGGCTCGAAGGAGGCTGACATGGGTAGCACAACCTTGGCTTTCAGCACTCCTTTGCGCATTTTCTTTTTTGAACTCAGGCCTGTAAGAGCAGCTTTGCAAGGCCGAGTACTCGTGCTGGAGCCCCAAAGCAGAACCCGCAAGTGGCTTTCAATCTGAGGACAACACGGTTTTGTCATTTTTCACTGTAATTTCTGCACTGGACTCACTGAAAGGGAGAGAGATTCTCCTTTCCGTGTGGTGCTGAAAGGCTGGAAGGGATCGAGAAGGCAGAACGCAATGTGCCCCAGCGTCGTGTGCAGACGAAGTGAAATGGACCGAGGTCAAGGCATAGCATGGCATGGATTGCCATGGATCCTTTTGGACACCCTAGGGGCTCCTGGCATCGCTACTAGGAACAAGAAGCTACTAGGGGCTGCTGGCATCGCTACTAGGAACAAGAAGCCACTTGGTGTTGAAAAAAAAAAAACGACTTTGAGTTAGCGCGACGAGTTTCCTTGATGCATGACGAGTTTTTCCTGTCTCAATTCGCCCCCCCGCCAGCTGTAAATCTTGGCAATGATGCTGCGGGTCCTCTTCGTGCTTTCCTGCGCAGCAGCTTCAGATGAGCTTCGGGCACTCCAGGAAGATTCCGAGTGCTCATCAGCCGAGTGCACATTCAATGCGCTGCAGCCTCTCTGCCGCACATCAACTGAAACTTCTGTAACTTGGAACTTTGTGTCTGCTTTGATAATCCATGTTGCGCTTAATTCAAAAAGCTTACCCTTTTGAGGGTTGAGCCATGCACCAGACGGGCAGGTGGTCCCACCACCCTTCACAATCTAAAGCTGTAACATGTCATAATCACATATGGTCCAGTGCCTGACTTGCTTACCTAAATAACGTGGAGTTTCGATGACAAGTTCGTTTTTAACCGTAAGTTGCCATCATGGCCATGTCTATGTGACCAACTATGTGTATCTTAATCTTGTCTTGCTGGCATCCCACTGCTTTGCTGCCTCAGGCTAAATACTGCAGCGGTCCAGGGTGCATTGGACAAGGATCAAGAACACGAAAGTGTCATTGATGAAGATGGAGTTTTCGTGAACACATCCTCCCAGATTCCACTTTACGGCTATCACCACTGGGCGACTACAACCATGTATGGGGATGCTCCTCGAGCAGCATGCGGTGGAATCGACACTCATGCGCTGGTTGCAGGAACTCCTTACCACAACGTAGCTTCAGCTCAGTCCATGTGGCAAAATTGCAATGGAAATGGTGCCTGCTGGTGTGGCAAGGCCGGTGGAGGTGGAGGTACCACAGGTATGGGCTGCCTCTCTTGTGCCAAAGGCCGTTTCCTGAGATCAGGCTATGGCGAGAAGGGCAAAGCCTTGTACAGCCTTGAGGAATCAGAGTCTCTTGAGGAATCAGCATCTGAGTCAGAAGATGACGTGGACAGCCCTTTCATGTCAGAAGAGATTATCGTCGTGGTGGGTGACCTTTGCCCACATCCCGGAAATGAAGATTGGTGTCCTACGAGCCCTGGTCAGAAGAATGCCTACGGCTCCTTCAACCACCTTGACTTTTCGCACTACCCCAACAGCGTTCCACATTCGAGATCGATCCCAAACAAGAACTTTGTTTTCTCGAGAATAGAGTGCCCGAAAGATCTGCGTGATCGGTACTGGGGCATGTCAAGATGCCGCTAAATGCCGCTGAGCCAATGGTTGAGATGACATGCCCCACCTTTTGCACTTACTAGTGGACTAGTGAATAGAATGCCAAACCTGAACAGGCACCTAGATTGGCATAATGCACTGACCTTGCTTGTGAACAAACGGACCTTCCCCGCAGCAAAATATTGCGGCGTTGATGCATCACAACATATCATCACGAAAGCATGAGTTACAAGGCATCATTCAAAGGGTAGAGATTTAGTTTGGTCTCCAGCGTGACAGGTACTGCCGCTTCTCAACAACCTTTTGGAGAACAGAGAGATGCAGCTCGAGGTTTCTCGCAGAACTGCATTGCTTCGAGAACCTTGAAGTCGATTGTCCTTTGACAAAACGGCACTGCCGGCAGGACGGACGTTTTTTGATGTCCCATGGCCGCGTCACAGGACCCTAGTGATTTTGAAATCTCAACGCGCCAAGGGTGACTTGAAGAGGGTGACGTTTTTCCCAGGATCTGGCAAAGTCAAGGGCAACCAGGACCATTTGGTGCCTGTGAAGATCCTCAAGTCAACGTAAGCTTGTTGAACGCATAATCTAGAAATTTCTAGAATGGACATCCAAAAGTCTCACAGGACCTGAAGCTTGAGCCAGTGCACCCGGAGTTTATTGTCATTGCTATAGGCCTGGTCTCACTTTGAGGATCCTTTTCTTGGGATGCATTGCATGGAGTTCCTGTGAATGGCTGGAAGGCATGCCAAAGAGAGGCAATCCCCTAGACCCACCCCTGCCGGAAGCCCAAGAGCTTTTAGTCTTTGTGAACTTCTTGGTTACTTTCCAGCACAAGGCCTCCGCATCAGCCACGAAGCTTGAAATCGATTGAAATCTTTCTGTGAACGCAAATATCTGAGGAATGTTCTGAGAACCTGAGGAGATCACGCTTTGCTGGACATGTCCTTTGGCCTCCCTCTGTACCAGAGGTGCATGATTTGTCCTACAGATGTGTCGATTTCTTATGTAGAATCCAACTACATACTAGCCTCCTTGGAGAAGTGGTACTGAAGATATTTCTAGCTGCCATACCTAGACTCCGGAGCAAACATGCACGAAATGAGTAGTCGCAGCAACTGCCTGGCACACGTCGTAGGCTAGGTTGCCTGAGTTTTACCACTTCCCGCAATCGAAGGTCCTGCGGCAAATCAACCGCTTGGAAGCTCCGCCACAAGATGATGACCTGAAAGAGTTTAAGAAGGCCGAGACATCCTGTCTGCAGCAGGTTGCACATGGCTGCAAGGTCGTCCAGCTTCATTCAGCTTCGTCAAATGACAAAACATCTCCCACTGTGATTGCTGCTTCAAACCAGCACCATGTGCAAAAGAGGAAACTCTGAGACGCTCATGATCCAACAATTTTTTCTGGTCCGAACTGCACCCTGCCGCCAGGTCTTGCAAGTACTTCAAAGCTTCATAAAGCACGCGAAGCAGGCAGACTATCATTGCCACATATTGCCATGTCTTGCTGAAATCTCAGTGGATGTTGTTTCAATCTCTTTGGTACGCCAAAGTCTGTGTGAGATTAGGCAATACCGCATTCCAACAGTGTCAAACAGATCCAAAAAGAAAGAGTGAGACAGACGCACCAACGCACCTAACCTCACTGACATCAAATTCACTATCACGGTTTCTTGCCTGCACCATTGGGAAGTAGCTTTCAAACAGCGATAAGAAGAGTTAACTCGTCGTCATCCGTAAAGAAGGGAAAGCATCTAACAGTACGTCCGTTTCGAAGAACTCTTTCAGTTGATGTTGCAAAACTTGTTGATTGTAACATATTGTAACCGTCTCAAAACTTTGCTCGCTACCAGGGTGGCATACGAGTGCCCCCATTGCCGGACCGGGCGGCTATCCGGACCGCTCGTTGTTGCCTAAGCACAGTCGAGTGGTAAACCTGGTGTTGTTCGTTTTGGAAGGGTTCCACTCCACGCTCTTGAGGGAAGGGAGAGAGAGAGAGAGAGAGAGTGAGTAAGGCTTCACCACTTTGGCCGTGAAGAGGTTGAGTACACCATTTGCCGTTGCTTGTTTTTGGCTCTTTGAAGGACCCCAATGGGGCCGTTACCTTAATCTGGGATGAATTGAACCCTGCGCCTTGCAAGCCGATCTTTGCAGGGCAGATGACAGCGAACAGTCTTTTCCTGTGAGCAGACAGGGTTCCTTTCACTTGGCAAGAAAGATGATGTAGTCTTGAACCTAGCCAGCCAAATCTTTCACCCGTGCAAACTCTACTTGTACTTGTACGACAGAAACTCCGATTGAATCTGTTTCTCTGCTGAATGGCGAATGATGGCGCAGAGACTCTCACGCGCCGACGCCAAGAGCATGATCAACCGCGGTGCGTTTCACCGCAAGGACGCAGCTTCAGGGGCTAGCAGCAGACTGTCTATGTTCAATGTATTTCATTAAATCACCTTGTTTCAACAGTCTCCTGAGGGGCCCTTCGTCCAGGTTGTCTTGGACGTCGTGACTCAGTACGGTGATTTGCTGTGCTACGCGCAGCCGAAGCTGCAAAGGCAAGGTCACCG